GTGTATTATCAATAAAAATATCCTCAAAACCACTTGGCAAAAAATATGAAGAACAAGACACCTTTTTAGGGAGTCGGCATCAACAAACTCTTACTCTTTAGGAAATGGTGAAGGCCTTCAAGTATCTCCCAAATCCTAATCAATTAATCAAATTGAGTTGGTCAACTTATTAATTTATTAAAATCACCCTTAAACTTCACCTGCCATTTTCACTTTGTTGGGTATCGTCAACCCTTCAACTCCCATCGCTGCCTGGCATTTAATTAGTAGAGGAATTGCCACGTGATAATTTACCAAAAAGGGTATAAACACACCGGGCCGGCCCTAAGGGCACACAAGAGAAGCATTCATCTTGGGTCTCCAAATTTGAGCTAAAAATAGGAGACCCAAATATTATTAGCCCAATCGAACATGGAGTCCAAAAAAAAGTAACAAGACTAGATTTTTATTTTTTTTAAGTATTTGTAATGATTGCTTCTATCTTAATATATGAAAAGTAAATTTTTGTTTATAATTTTAATGATTATATGTGTGTATAAATTTTTTTTGTGAGTACAAGCAAATAAAAAGTTTGTAACTTATCGTTTTATTCATGATTTTTTTTTCAATGTAAGAGGGGTCCATTTCCGAAGTTCACATTGACCCCCTAAATCTCAGGGCCGGCACTGGGTATAAATGTATCTGTAATAGAGCGTAAATAAAAAATTATGAGGGTGCAAGTATCACTCGCACCTCTCATGTGTTAATAATTTTCTTTTTTTCCCTTCTTCTACCAGCCCATAGTTCCCCTATAATAATATGAGAAAATATGTGTCCTGCTCAAACTAGTAGGGAGCTCAAGATTTTTTATGACCTTAAGCCAAATATTAAAATAAAATGTTTATCTTATCATGTCTTTAAAAATTGAAGCCTTCAATAATAAAATATTGGCGGACTTACATATAAGTCGTAATAAGTAAACTTACTGTCTAGCAGATCCTATAATAATTAATAATATTTTCATCAAAACACTATTAAAAAACGTTACTAACTGTTAATTTTTAGCGACGGTTTAAAAATTGTCACAAGAATGTCATTAATTATAAATTTTAGCGACAATTTTAAAAAATGTGACTAATGTTCAACTTTAAAAGATTCATTAAGAAAAAACACCAGTAATTATAAATTTTAGCGACAATTTATAAAAAGGCAAATTACATATACCTCCCTCAAGATTTAGCTAAATTACAAATACCCCTAAGGTTTCAAAAATTACAGATACTCCCCTGAGATTTATATTTTCATAACAAATTGCCCCCTGAGATTTATATTTTCATAATAATTTGCTCCCTAATTTGTTATGTAAATATAACCTTCAAGGGGGGATATCTGTAATTTCTCAAACCCCAGGAAGATATCTGTAATTTTGTTAAACCTCGAGGGAATATATGTAATTTGCCCCTTATAAAAAATATGGCAAAAAAAAAAAAATCATTAACTGTCATTTTTTAACATATGCAAAAAATAATCACCAAAAATTATATTTAACGGCAATTTATTGAGATTTATTTTTAATATGACTTGATAGAATTAATTCTATTAAAACCTATTAAAAATTTATCCTAAAATATTTTAATTTTTTCAATAAGACTTAGGTGATGACCCAGATGACTTAACGATTGAATCACCTCCAGCCTAAACAACTCATCGTGATTTGTGAAAATGGTTGATTAACCCAAATACCTCTAATTCTCTCAAGAAACAACCCCAGTTTAAGTGCCTACAATATGCTGTGAATTTTTTAACTGCTATTTTGTTTGTACCAAATTTACATACTACCAATATAATACACATATGTCAATTTCCACAGCTATTTTCATCAATTTAAACTGCAAATTGTTTTCAGTTCTTCTCAGCATACATTCAGTTCTAAACCAAGTTTAACCTCCACGTCAGAAAATCAACTTCTCATTTTCTATTTTTTATAAATAGTTTGGTTTGAAAGATCATTTGACACCATATGTTTGAAAACTTCTATTTACACTCTCATACTTGTCTCAATACACCATCTGCTAGCCATTTGCTCAGTTCATCACACTACAGAAATTGAAATTTTTGATTTTGTTCAATACACATCACCAATTTTCATATAATACCAAATTACCATCTTCTCCAACAAACCCAAACCCTAACCCCTACCCCTGCCACAGCCACCTCACCTCCTCGTTTCAACCCCCTCCCCAATTGCCCCTACCTACCCACTCCCCTCCGGTTGCTGCCCCCTTTCCTTCTGCTGTCCCACCACTCCTCACCTCGACGAAGTCATCACCATCACAACTTCTATCCCATAGGCCCCCATCGTCGCAATGCACGATTGCTACACCCCCACCCATTGTGACCCTAGATCCACAACCATCGCAGCTCCCACTCCCTGTGAACTCCACTGCAGAGAGAGAGAGAGAGAATCTATGGTTTCAAGAAACGATGAAGAAGAAAAGGGAAAGGAAGAAAATGAGGGCTAGGGAGGGAAGTGGTGGCATAAGGAGGCATGGAGAGGGGCAACAAGGGCTAGGGAGGGGGCGCTGTCAGAACCGAAGGTGCAACAGTAGCTAGTGGTAGTGTGTAGGTTGTGTACTCAAAAATTAGGGATTAGAATTTTGTCCAAAAGAGGAATTTGTAGGAATTTGTTTGGGGAATAAAACTATAATATAATAAAATAAAATAAAAATTTGGAAAAGATGGTAGGTATTGAGAAAAGGAGTAGAGTGTAAATAGTCCAGACCATTCTTCTTTCTTTTTCTTTTTTTTTGACAACAGCCATTTGTCCTTAAAACAAACACAAAATACTGGATGCTACAATTTTAACCAATAAAATTCAGGTCCTATATTTCCACTGTTAATTGCTTTAGTGAATCCCTGGTAAACATCCACAATCATATATTTATCAGCTTCCAAACTGGTGTATTCCCCAAAGGGGAGGTGATTTCAAAATCAGCATCACATATTGGGGAATTCATCCTTGTATCAGTTGTCAAAATCAGGCATACAAAACTTCAAAATGAGTGGAAGAAAGAAAATCTTGCAATATTCCACTTCAATCGATACAATAAAATCCTGGAAGAAGTTAGGGCCCCAACCCCCCCAACACAGATACACCCTATGTTACATGGACTTGGATGTGAGTATGAATATGTATCTAAAGGTTGGACTCATCACACCACAAAACATCAAACTGATAAATAATCAAATAAACAGAGTCAAAACCTACTTGATTGGTAACTAAGAACTGCTCCAAGTCCAAAACAACAGAAAGGGTGAATTAAATACTGAGGTTGATCCTAGTTTCAGTATGCTCTTTTACATATATATAGCTTGAACTCGCAAGCATACCAGACCATGCTCTTAACTCATTAACTCAAAAACAACAGAAGATGACAGGAAACAACTCATTTCAGCATGCTTCAAGTAACAGCCTTTTCCTAATAGGAAAAATATGTCCAACTTCCCATTGTTCCAATAACTATTTTTCTAAAAACTGATCTCAAAAGTTGTTGCCAAAGAAAAGGGAGGTAGCTATAATAATCTTTTCAATTTTTTTTTTCTTTCCAGTATTCGAATCCCTGACATCAAGGTTCAGTAACTTACCAAGTACCAAAGACAAAGACAAGCGGGCTGACAATCTGAGTTTATCGTAAATATATCTCAGCAGTCTAAAAAATGAATGCAATTCAAAAATCTGTGTTAAATATGACAATCTCACAATTAATTAAAACTAGCCACTACATTTAATTACAACTATGTTAAGCAATAGCGACAGATATATTTTCCCAGAATAAGAAACCTTCCCAGGTTAAATTAATTACCGAAACCATCTAATGGCCGATAAACTCGAAAACCAGACACTCACAAATAAGTCTTTTATATTCGCTTGTATTTGTTCGACTACCTTACATCCAGGGCTTTTAACAACATACTACTTGACCAAGACCCCAACCATAAACCATATTATGTATATTACATTAACTCTACCACTGTTCTGTTTAAATTACTAACGCATACAAAGCATGTCCTTCAATAGTTATAACGTAACAAATATAGCAACTAAATTGACGGGACATGCCAAAAGAACTGTTCAACTTCAATTTGTTCATTTTTATTTGAACTTACCACTTTTGTCATATCATATGGGCTGGGTAACACTCCCTTTTTATCCCTACTAATAATGTTCATCCCTTCACTTTCAGTTCTACGGATCTCAAATCTATACTTCAATCTACAAAAGATGCAACCCACATGGTTTAAATTACCTTACCAGATAAAAACAATTCACAATTCAAAAATCAAAATCCATACTTCATCGGCAGTAAAATTTACTGAAGTACCTAATACTTGACGATATCTACAAGCAACCAACCATCAAGAAGTTTGGCAAGGATCCAACAATATTCTAAGACAAAAATTATCTCCATCCAACACTCTCATACACAAAACCCCATAAACTCCTTGTCTACTCAAAGCCACACACAAAATCCTAAGATTATTGTGAACTGGCTCCAAAAACAAGTTCTTTATTGAAATCAATCCTAAAAACCTATTTTAGAGCTCCACTACAAAAAAATAAAAGTAGGGAGAAAACAGAAAAGGAAAAGAAACAAACATCATTTATAGGAAACAACTAAACCAAGGTGAGGAAGATATTGTTTCCATGTTAGCATTGAAGTAATTATGGACTCTTCCAAGATTGTGGTGCCCAAGGAGACAATTTACATAATTCATTAGCAACTCAAAGCGGCATACTTTCCACACCACAGGTAAGGAAGGAGGGGGGGAGGACTTATTCTACAAAATATTTATTGGATATACACACTTGACATGCTAGACAAAGCGTTTCCAAGGAAGGACCAACAAGATCATACCAGACTAGCACTATCACCTTTAAAGCACATAATTTTTCTGATACAAAGAACATGCATAAAATAACAGCACAATAGATGGTACTAAATCATGAGTTCCAACAAAGATACAAAACAAAACTCAATACATAATTGGAAGACACATAACACAACAATGAGGAATTTCAAACAAACCTCAACAGAAATCAATCTATCTAAAAGGCATGTATAACACAATTTGCCTGTCAAATACCATTCAAATTATTCATCATCACCACCGCCACATCTTTGACAAAGTACGTTACATATAGATATAGATGGTACGCATTGGAGTAACAATCCTCCTCTATGTCCTCCGTATAATGGCATAATAACAGACCAAAACTCTTAAAAAGATCAAAATTTTTGGAACAATAAAAATTTAAGCATAGAGAAAGAGAGAGAGAGAGAGCGCTACAAACCATAAAATAGGCCTCTATCAGATCGGCACGTGTCTCTTCAATAGTTGCTTCCCAGTCACCGCCAGCCCAACCACCACGCCGCCAATCGCGCCAGCCACCGCCGCCGACCTCGGCCCCGACGCCGCCTTGTAAAGCGCCCCTGTGCCCAGACCCGCCACCACGCTGTTCACCACATCGTCCGTATCCCTAATCGCGACCATCCCGCTCTCCAACCCTGCGTACATCAACCCTATAACCCCAGCCCGGTTCCCGAACTTCCGACCCGTGTGACCCGAAGCGTTCAAGATCCGATTGACTCGGAGCTTCATCGTATCGCCGGCCTCCGACGATTTTACGCCCTCGACGATACCTTTTCCGGCGCCGGTGACGGCTCCTCCTAGGTATCCGATTCCGGTGTAGTATGTGAGGTTTTCGCCCCAAGATCGGCGCTGAGCGATGGCCTCTTCCTGGAAGAGAAACTCCGGTGAGGTTGGGAGCTTATAGAGGGTCTGAATCGGGACTTGGAGATCTTGGTAGGGATTGTATAGTCGACGATTGTTGTCTTTGTCGTCTTCGTTGTGATTCGAAGCTCGTGGTTGATACGCCATGTTCTAGGGTTAGGGTTAGGGTTTTGTGGTGCTATCTTTGGTTTCGCTCGCTCCCAAATGAAAGGGATTCTGAGGCAGAGAGAGAGAGAGAACAGCAGCCTAGGTTTGTATTACGTGTAGAGAGAAAAAGCGAAGGAAAGGAAGGCTCGTGTTTCAACGCCGACTATGGGGTTGAGTGAAAAATAGGGCCGATTCAGTCACGCTATTTGACCGGTTATTGGCTCACCCGGTTCAATTCATAAGGATGTTCGCATTAAGGTTGAATATAAAATACTAGCCGTTCACGGTTTGGTTAAAATCGAAAAATCTTTAATTTGTTATTTGTCTGCTGAATTAGTAGATTAAAAAAATTAATTCGTATCCATCAATTAAATTGGCAGATGCAGTTTAAGTATTTTGAGGGATGAATACAAATTAGTTTAACGGCTTAAATTTTTATAATTTTTAAATATAATATAATAACTTGTCAATATTTTTTTTGAATAACAATTCAACTTAATATAATTAAAAAATTATCAAGAAAATTATCAAATACCAATAATAAATATATATAAGAAAATTATGTATTATCAAAATTATTTCATTATTGTTTTTTTATTCAAAAACTATTTGATTTAATTTTTTTTTAAATGACAAAATTAAACCTTATATTTTCCACATAAAAAATATCAAAAACCAACACTTGTCACTTTATAAAAGAATTTCTGAATTGAAAATAAATTGAAAACACAATAGAATATCTAAACTTCTTTTCAATTGAAAACACAAACAGAATATCTACACAAATTAAAAATACAAAAATTTTACAAATTATTAGGAGTGTTCGCGGTTTGGCAATTTGGTTGCTGTCAAACGAACACCAAATTCGTCATATGTCCAAAACTAGGCAGATTGAAAAAAAATCAATCCATAACTGTCCGCTCATCATCACACATATGTCCAAAATGTGATAGATCAGTTCAATTCAACCGATTTAGACGGATCAAAATATTCACTAAACACCCCCATAAAATACTAGCTTTGTTCAATCTGTTTGGACACGTATAAAAATAAAAATATTTATTTATTTTTTAAAAATTTGAACCATTTTATGTCTATTTAATCTGCAATAATGTAAAAAGTTAATAAAAAAGACTTAGATTGCGTTGGATAGAGTTTTCTAAATATAATTTAAGAATAGAGTTATATTTTGAGTTTGTGAGTTTTGGAATTATGATTTGAGTGTGAAAAATTTATTTGGTGAATGAGTTTTGAAAATAGTTTTGAATTGAGTGAGAAATTTTTGATGTAACATATGATATTTGATACAAAAACTTACAATTCATAACTAAATACACAACTCAAAATTCTATTAAGGCTCATAAAAAATTCAAAATTTTTTTTTTGTTAAATATATAAAAATTAACATGTGTCAATTGCAAAAAAAATAAAAAATAAAAGTAAAACAAAATAAAATTGTACTGTTTCAGTCAACCGACCGGACGACCGGTTAGTTCAAATTTTTTTGCCATCGATCGAGTTTTAAAAAATAAGTGTGAAATTAATTTTTAAAAGTCAAAACCAAACACCATATATAAATTAAGAGTTGAAATCACAATTTCAAAACTCTTTCAAACAGAACCTTAAAGTTCACTTAAAAAAAAAAAAAAAAACTTGGCTCTAGTGGACTGAACTGTGTCCAGACACTCGATTTTTGAAAAATGCTTCATATCACTAATTTAGTACCACTAATGGCATCATGTGGATCCCACCACTAATGTGATAGTTTGACTTTTGTTTTATTTTTATTTTTTTTTTCTTTACGTTACCACCTCATTAGGCTTGGTTTGGAAAGTGGGTTGGTTTTTTGACTTTTTTAGCTATTTTAACCTGGGCTAAAAAGTTTGGTTTGGGAAGGACTTTTTGACTTTTTGACTTTTTTTGACTTTTTTTTGTGAGAGAAGAGTGTAATGATTATGGGTTGAATGTGATGTTTTGTTTGTTGTGACTAAAATAGCTTATTTTATTTTTTGTGACTAAAATAACCAAAAAAACCTCAAATCTTACTTCCCAAACGATGCCTTAATAATATTTTTAAAACTTCAAATTTAATACTCTAAATCACCACTCCTCGGTTTTTTACTACGCTTAATACTCTATACCTGAGTGCTCTTTGAAAAGCACCCCGATGATGAAAGCCGGTGATGGACGCAAAAATCCTATTAAAAGTGGGCCAAATTATACATAATAAAAACTTAACTGCAAAATTTATTTAATCACATTATTACAAAAGTTTTGAACAATGTCGTATTAAAATTTTCATTTCTATAGTCTTTATTTTATTTTATTTTTGTACATGTCTATTGGCTGAAAATTTTTACTAAACTTCTTTTAGACATTGTACAAAATATATGATCAAAACATAATAACATACAAGTATAGTTTTCACATTGATTATAATCACATTGAGGGTTTATTTGGCAACCTACTAGAATAGCATACTTATTTTTTTATTTTTTTTATTTGAATTATATCACATTTCTACTTTTATATATATCTTTTCTTAAAAATTAAAAAGTTACTAAAATAGTATATTCTCAAACTACACCTCAATCGTAATTAACACCAATTAAAGTCAAAACTAAAACCCATTTTGGTCTTAACCAAAGTCACCACAATGAGTTGTAATAAATATCATTTTGAGGCATAATCTAACGTCATAAATGAAATATAATTAATTTTTATTTAATAATTTGCTAGTTCTTAACCATAATGACTCATAACTAAATACCGTAATCATTGTAACTAACATTAAAATAAATGGTAACTTACATATTATAGTGTATATTATAGCATGACCCTAGCTAAAGGCTTCAACCAAATTGGCACTTCCACAGAGCATAAATAAACAAATAGACTTTGGAGGGCCAATTGTATACAAATTACAAATCTAAAGAACAATCATAATTAAGCTAATTAAGGATTTCAAAATAGATGCAGGATGCAAGGGCTATGGCCCCCTTAGCCACCCTCTGCATCCGTCGTTGACGAAAGCAAAGATCGTTTCAAGGTAATCTATTTTCACTACACTTTGTTACATAGATTTGAGTATTATTTTGCTCTTTTCTTTGAAAAGAGATATAGATTCCATTTTATTTCCTTGATTTTTAGTTCCATTGCCTTAGTTTGTGTGTTAAAATCTGATTACACAACTAACTAGAATCTAACTCCCAAATTCCGGGAATAAAGTAGAAGAGTACATGCACTACATGAAGTTCACAACCTGCAACAATGAACAAAATACCTAAATTGGTTGCTACCAATTGGGAGGGCACTCCGATGATCTTGTTAATAAGGATATCTCACAAGATAATCTAACAGAATAACAATTCTGAAGTAAAAATGTACATTTTACCCACGGGGTGCCTCTCTTTATATAATAATATATGCCCTCCTCATCTTAAGAGTCAAACTCCACTAGCACTCTTATTCCCAATAGGAATAATACTTAATCAAGACTCATCTATCCTTGTTTGATTGGGATTAACTCCCTTAAAAGAGTCCTTTTTTATCCAACAAGGAATCTATCTTCATCTAGGACTCAAATCTTTCTCCGAATATCTCGGAATCCGGTGTGATCACAACACACCTTGGCCAAACATTACTATCCACATGACACCTCGACTAACAACCAATCCTCGTCGATAACTCTAAAATTATGCCCCCACAAACTGGCCTCTCGGTCCTATTATGTCGGCAACCCTGAGGTGATAAGATGTAGCCCTTGTGTCCTTTAAAGCGTTTGGTAAGTGTATTTGAACCCTTTATTCTATTTTAGGAATTTTTGGTGTTGTTATGGGTTGGTTTTGGAGGAGTACAATCCGATTTAAACTTGTTGGGTTTGGTTGTTCGCACTTATTCTTGTCAAAAGTTTCTTGGAGACTTAGAAATTCCATTCTAGGGTCGACACCAGCCTTCCTAAGGGTCGATCCTTACCTGTTGGTGAAGTTCTAGAAATGTTGTTGGAAGCTAGGGTAGACACCAGACTGGGAGAGGGTCGACCCTCTTATGTCTGTGTGTTAGTTGCTAAAAGATAGGGTAGATACCAGACTGGAAAAGGGTCAACCCTCTTATGTCTATGTGTTAGTTGCTGGAAGATAGGGTCGACCCCCTCCTGTCTAAGGGTCTACCCCTGTGTGTTTTTTTTTTCAGATTTTTGAGCTCCGAATGGGCCCTATCTAAGGGGGTTTTTGGACCTATTATTTTATTTGACCTCAGGGCTTTTCTTCGCTACTATAAATAGGCCCAAACCATTTTTTCTCTCATGATTTTCATTCCATTTTTCCTCTTAAACCGTGATCTCTCTCTCTTCTCTCTCTAAAACTCAACTTTTTCACTTAAATCTCTAGATCTACTCACATAGAGTGATCTTCTCACCTTGCTCCTTAGAGATACATTGTAGAGCTTGTCGAGGGCTTCATTTTGATCAGAGCAAAATGTCGTTTCTCCTCTGTCAACTTTTGGATTTTTCTTCCTTTTTCCTCTTTTAAGCTTGAGGTAGGGATATTCTACTCTCCTATATGGGTTTTAACATAGATATTGTCATCTCGTATAAATTGTGTGATTTGTGAAGGTTTTTGGTGAATTTTTGGTTGGTTTCTATATATATAAAAGAGAGGTTTTCTATTTGGTTTCCCTATGGGCATGAGAGGTCTTGAACATGTTATGACTTGAGAAGAATTAATGAAATTTGGTCTTAGGTATAATATTTGATAAATGAGGAGATTTTTCCTAAAGTGAATTAAATAAGTTATTTTGTATAAATAACGAGATTGACTTGGAAAATATGGAATTGAAGGAAAATGTGATTAAATGGTGTAGTTGGATTAATAAATCACTGACCTATGAGAAAAGTTGATAAATTATTTGTTGATAGATTTATTTATCTGTTTATAAATATTTGCTTTGGGCTATTGGTAGAGAATAGCCATGATTGTTGTAGAAATTGCATGATGATTAGGTGAATTGAAACTAATCAATTGGATTATG